GGGGTTGGGTCCGTCTAGGACAGGTGTACTCGAGAATTACATGATAATCCTGATGCATCTTATGTGCTACTTGTGCATTATGTTTGATTTGGTTTGTGCATGTTGATCGGTTTCTAAAAATAAAAATAAAAATATGAAAATTTGAGGGAAAACTAGAAGGAAGAAAATATGAGAGAGAAACTTTACCCGATTTTCGAAAAATCTCAGTATTTACCCCAAAAAGATTATTACAAAATAAGCCTGAATTTTTTAAAAAATGCCATCCTATTCCTGAAATATTTACGAATTATGCGGGCCTGATTCTCACCGGATGTGAGATACGTAGGCAACCTTCATAGGGTTCGGCCCCATTTTTGCAAAAATATGTGCAAGTTGTTTTTGGTCAAAACAAATAAGCCAAACCGGCTTCGGTTAATCTCGAGCCGTTTCTGTCTGAATAGCCTCAGAACATCTTCAAAATTATCGAAGGGCTGTTCTCGCAAGAACGGACGTGTCTGTCAATTGGGCATTACCTTTGCCATAATGCCCTTCCCCTGCCCTAAAGCTATCAATGGAAGTACGAAGGGGCCATAATTGCAAAATAGCCACCCTCTCTTTGATTTTTCTTAAATTGAGTTATTTACAAAAGATTGTTTTACAAAACGAGTGCATTGGTTCTGTCTTTTGAGACTAGTGTCAACCCTAATCTTAACCACCCACAGGTACAAAATGAGCACTGCCTAGAATACACCGTTGACGGTAGTAGACAAGGCTCCACTTCAGCTTCAGTTGTGGCGGTATGACTTAGGAGAAGATGGTCAGAAATGGGTCACCAAGCACCTGGGAGCCCTCACAGATATTATGAAAATTAAACTACGGGACGATTTGATTGAGGCACTAGTGACTTTTTGGGACCCCGTTCACAATGTCTTCCGCTTCTCCGATTTTGAGCTTATCCCACTTTAGAAGAGATAGCTGGATATTCCGGGTTTGGCAGGGATTTGAGAAACCAGAAGCTCATATTCTCGAGGGCTCACTCTGTACACCGATTCTTTGATCTTCTGAACATCAGTAAGCAAATCAGAAAGACCAACGTAGTCGAAAGGTGTTGTTCTTTCTACTTCATGTACTCTAGATTCGGGTAGCCAAATGGGTTTGAAATGCATGAAAAGAGCCTTAACAACAAGCAAAACAAAGACATATGGTAGATTCATCATCGCTTCGCCTTCATAGTGGCGTTTATGGGAATTATGGACTTCCTAAACGAGGAGCGGACAATTGATACCCGCATAGCCAGGGTTGTATAGGTCCTCACTACCAAAGAACATCACACTCTTGCACCGATCATTCTATCAGACATTTATTGGGTGTTGACATTGTGTAAGTCCGGGGTAAAATTCTTCGAAGGGTGCAATATTTTGTTACAAATGTGGTTGATTGAGCATCTCCGACATTACCCCAAGTTCATGAGCTATGGTCCGAGCAAGGACAATTTCATTAAGATTTACGAAGAAAGAGTAAAAGATTACAACTCTCTAGAAGGGGTGGAAGCCTGGATATCCCACCTAAGATCTTTAAATGCAAGTCAAATTGAGTGGACTTTAGGATGGCTCCCGGTAAAAGAGGTGATACACATGTCGGCCCTAACAAGTTATTTGCTGCTGTTGGGTTTGAGAAGTGTCCAGCCGTATGCGCCACAGAGAGTTCTAAGACAGCTAGGAAGGTATCAAGTAGTGCCTGAGGATGAAGATTTGAGTGTGCAAGTGATTGAGCTACACCCTGAAGCCCCACTCCCCGAAGCTTTAATCCAGCAAATTTGGAATGGTTGTCGCTACATAAAAGATGATACTCAGGTTCCAGATCCTGCGAGAGGTGAGGTAGATCCGGGTTATGCTATATGGTTTGGAAAGAGGTCTCGCGTGGATGATGAGTTAGAGCCCGAGCCCAAAAGGCCCACAAAAGGCCGCATGTTCAAGCCTTTGATGATAAAACCCAAGAACGGTTGGCCTGAGGTGAAAGGGAAAAGGGATACAAAGCAACTATTCATGCCTTAGAAGAATGGCTGAGAAACCTCAATTTTGAGAAAGACTTGCAAGCACAAGAAGCCAAAGGGGAAAAAAAGAGTCTGATCCACAAAAATGAAGCCCTTCGTGCCCAACTTCAACAGATGAAGAAAGCCTCTGAGGTACCAGCCAGAAGTTGGAAAGATCAAAAAACCATTTCCAGACTGATGGAAAAGGTGCAAGATTATGATGTCATCTTGGCAAACACTGAAAAGGCATTGGACAAAGCCAAGGAAACAATCGTACAGTTAAATGAGGAGGCCAAATCTAGTAAGGATTGCCAAGTAACAAAATTTGAAGAAGAGAGGGCTCAGTTTGAGAGAGAGAAAGTCCATTGGGTATGTTCGGAAGCTCAGCTCCATGCACAGTTGGAAGAAATGAGAAGGTACAATAGAGCATACCAACATGTAGATTTTGATAGGGAGAGGGCCCAGGCAAGACTCGAGCAGGCTAGACTTCGGGCTCAGTTGGAGTCAGCTTTAGATCACGAGGGCCACATAAGAGAGATATCCACCACTCGCCAGCAGCAGTTACAAGATCAAGACTAGAATTTTCAGTACTTCAGAGAGCAAGTCCATGTTTGGTTGTTTATACCGCTCAAAGTTATGTGAACTGCCAAGGGATGGATTATGAGAAGTTTTTGGAGCATGCACCTACTTTTTCACATCATCTTGTAGCAGAGTTAGAGAGGATGTACCGTATATTGGGAGGTCAGACAGGGCAATCCCCACCATGAGTAGATGTTCCAATGGTTGAAAGCAAAATATTGTGGAGTTGAAACATAGTCGTAGTTGTTAGGATTTTCCATGTAGCAGTTATGTTCTAGTTTGAGTCATTGTAAAGTCTTTTAAATCATTGTTTTTAGTCTTGTCAGAGTCTCTTAAGTCATTTTCGATGTAATGTCCTTTCTGTCATTGTATTTTGAATTGTTTCGCTTTGTTTTAAAAAAAACCAAGACTATTATTGTTTTTCCCTGAACTACGTAATGGTATGATGCATGTGGCGTCATGATATATAGGCAATCCCCATCGGATGCGATGATAACCATAATTAATCTGAAAAATTGCATAATAACAATAAATTAAAAAAAAGAAAAGAAAAGAGAGCGTTAAATTCAAGATGAAAATAAACCAATAAGTCGTGATGAAGCATGAAGCCTTCCAAACTCATTCTAGAAATGAAAATGGCATTAGGTGCATGACATACAATGTGTGATTAATATTTGCAAAATGCCTAACTCTAACACCTTTGTTGTTTGTCATCTATAAAGATAAGGTTAAACAGAGGTGGTTGGTTTGTGGTTTAAACTGGTGACTCACCCTTACAACACGAGATCAAAAGGAAAAAGTAGAATGGCAAACAATAGTGAGAATGAGTCAGATAATTATGATGTCTATGGAAAATTGGTCGAACAAGGTACGAGACTGGTTGAAGAAGTAAGGGTGTTGAAACAACAATTGGCAGAGATGTACCAAGCTTGGGTGAATGGACAGGCACCGCCCCCACTACCCATAGGGACTTCGAATAATTTTCATAATGTGTCAGTTGCAAATCAAGTGCCCATCTCCATAACAAGTAACCCATTGTACCAACCTGGATTTAGTCCGAGCATTAACCTTCTCACTATCCCTAGTACCTCCATTCCACGTCCCCCAACCGCACCCCTCAGAAATGACCCACCTACTGTACTCATTGTCCCTACTTTCATTGTTCCCCAACCGGCTCTCACTCAAAAGCTCAACAATGATCCACAACTGAATGCTCATGATGCCCAACATTACTCTCCAGAACTAACTTTCAAGGTTCCAGATTCATACAAGCATACTACTCAGAACATGTTCCCAGTTGAGATCGAAAAGCCTGACAAGAATATGGAACAAGAGGAAATGACCAGAAAAATGAAGAGCTTGGAACAAACCATGAGAAACATACATGGTTTAGGAAGCCACAAGAGTGTTTCGTTCAACGATTTATGAATGTTCCCCCATGTTCATTTGCCGCTCGGCTTTAAGACCCCCAAGTTTGACATATATGATGGTCATAGTGATCCTGTGGCCCATTTGAAGAGGTATTGTAACCAATTAAGGAGAGAAGGAGGCAAAGAAGAATTACTTGTGGCTTATTTTAGGGAAAGTTTAATGGGAATTACATCAGAATGGTTCATAGATCAAGACATCTCTTACTGGCACGTTTGGAACTACATGGCTCAAGATTTTGTCCAACAGTTTCAGTATAAAATTGATATAGTGCCATACCGCTCCTCTCTCGTCAACATAAAGAAGAAACCAACATAAAGCTTCAGAGAATATGCAATCAAATGGAGGGAGCAAGCTGCTAGGGTCAAACCACCAATGAAAGAGGCAGAAATGATTGACTATTTTCTCCAAGCTCAGGAACCTAATTACCTCCATTACATGTTGGCCGCCATTGGTAAACCTCTCGCTGAGGTAATTAAGATTGGTGAAATAGTTGAGAATCGCATGAAGTTGGGCAAAAATTGTGAGTCGGGCAGCCCTTAAGGCGACCACGCAAGCAATTCAAAGCGGGTCAGGCAGTTTTGGAAATTGGAAAAAGAAGGAGGAAGGATCCATGATGGCATCTGGGTTCGGGGGAGGTTAAAGAGGAATAGTTCCTTCTTATGTGTAATTCCAACAAGGACAATCCAATTCTCCTCAACATTACTATCCGCATCAGGGTCCCCGATACTCAGTTCCCCCGCAATAATACACAATGTTTAATGCTCAGGCTTATGCTAGGCCTCCCAATCACCAGCAATGGCGGGCACCGATTAGAAAAGTCTCCCGTCAACTCCGGACGAATTTTTAGGAATCATATAATCCGCGTCCCCGATAAGAATATGTGAGAGAACTGGAGACAAAGAAAGAGTTCACCCCAATTGGAGAATCGTATACAAGCCTATGTCGAAAGTTGATGCAGTTGAAGTTGATTGAACCTATCATGCCGCGTTATATGAATCCAAATTCAAAAGGGTTTGACTCAAATGCAAGATGTGAATATCACTCTAACACACAAGGTCATAGTACCAAAAAATGTTGGATATTAAATAAATCCATTGAAGAATTGAGTGAAGCAAAGGTAATTGTGGTAACAAACAATGAGGATACTCCTAATATCACAAACAATCCATTCCCAGCTCATGATAATACACATTTTATTGGGATGATTTGTGATGATCGGGATTATAAGCAGTCTAGCAAGATAGAGATGGTTGTTGGAACCATAGGGCAAGAACCAAAAGTGATAGTAAGTCCGCCGCAATTGGCACCATTGATTGTGAAAGGTGCGAGTTCTAGCTTGAACTTGACAGGTTCTGAAAAAATGATTCTCTATGTCCTTGGAAGCACAAAAAAGGTTGAGGTTCAATTGGGTGGGCCAAAACTTTACATCCCTGGGGGCATTCAAAAGATTGTTCCAAATAATGGTTTGAGAAATATAACAGAGCCAGTTGTGATCCGACCTGTTGCACAACTTCCAGTGACAAGCACAAAGGCTATTCCCTGGAATTATAAGAAGACTGTCATGACATACAAAGGAAAAGATATAGTGGAAGAAATAGATGAAATTGGGGGCTTGACCCGCTCTGGAAAGTGCTATTCACCAGAGGAATTGAGAAAAGCTAAGCAAGCCAGGGAAAGTCACTTGCCAGTGAAAGAACCTGTTGCAGAAAAAGAAGTGGAGGAATTTCTTAAGAAGATGAAAATGCAAAACTACTCAATTATTGACCAACTAAGGAAAACTCCTGCTTAGATATCTTTGTTATCTCTGCTTTTGCACTCAGAAGAGCATTGTCGTGTGTTGATCAAAACTCTGAACGAGGCATATGTATCAGAAAAGACAACGGTAAATCAGCTAGAAAAAAGGCTGAAAGATTCTTTGAAGTAAATAGAATTACTTTCAGCGATGATGATTTTCCTGAGGAAGGGGCTAGGCGCAATAGAGCTTTGCATCTTATGGTCAAATGTGAAGGGCACTACGTAAAAGGATTCATGATTCATGGAGGCTCAAGTGTATATGTATGTCCTCTTTCTACTCTACAACAGTTGAACATTGACATCAACAGAATTCGAACTAGTAATGTCAGTATTAGAGCTTTTAATGGTTCAAGAAGAGACACTATTGGGAAAATTGAACTCACCATGACAATCGGACTGGTTGATTTTAACATTGTCTTTCAAGTGTTGGATATGAAAACTTCCTATAATTTTCTTTTGGGAAGGCCGTGGATCTATATGGCCAGAGTTGTACCATCCACCCTACATCAAATGGTCAAATTTGAGTATGACGGGCAAGAAATTGTTGTTCATGGGGAGGACGACTCATCCGTCTATAAAGACCCATCCATTCCATGTATCGAGGCCAAGGAAGGATGTGAATCCATCATATATCAAGCATTTGAGGTGATTGAGGTGGACCAAGTGGAAGAAGGAAAACCAATTATGCATCCCCGTCTTTTAGCCACATCTATAATGGTAGCTTCACTGATGTTGAGGAACGGCTATGAACCAGGAAAAGGATTAGGATCCTCTCTGCAGGGAATTGTGAACCCCATTGCTCCCTTTTCGAAGAAAGATACCTTTGGATTGGGTTTTAAACCAACACCAGCTGACATAGACAGAGCCAAGGCCCGCAAAAAGAATAGTTGGAATCTGTCCAAACCAATCCCTCACATTTCCTACTCTTTTGTCAAGTCACAATTTGAAGAAGTCCAAAATCCTTCTAGACATTGATGAAGTTTGCTAGGGTCTCAAGGAGATGTTCTATGAGATCAATATGGTTCATGTTGGTGAGGGCCTTATCCGTGCAAGTGTTTAGTTGATTGGTCCAGATACCTCGCTCAACAACTAGGAAGCAACTCCTCTTCCCATTAGGAAGGAGTCTTGGTAGTCTGTTTTATTGCTTTTTCTGTATTTGGATTATTTTAAGGGTTGTAATCCAGATATTTTAGTTTAATTGCTTTGCTTTGATGTTAACCCTTCTATCCTTTCTAATTCAATGAAATAAAGTTCCAGTTTCATAGTAAAATTTTGTCTTTTCATTTCCCTAATTTTTGTTAATTTCTTATCATTTTCAGTTTCGTTAATGCCGGTTTTAAAACATGACATGCATGCGGAATTCATGCTCAGATCTTAAAAAGTTGTCTAATCTCGAAATAATGAAACAAGAAGTTGAGTATTATGAAGATGAGGCTCTTAAGGAAATAAAAAGGGAATTGGATCAATTTGAGAATAAGCCTAAGCTTAACTTAAATGAAACTGAGGCAATTAACCTGGGAAGTCCTGAAGAAACCAGAGAAACAAAAATAAGCATTCATACTGAACAAAAGACTAGAGATGCCATAATTCAAGTTTTGTTCGAGTATAGAGATGTATTTACTTGGTCGTATGATGACATGCCGGGTTTGAGTGCCGATTTAGTGGTTCATAAGCTTCCCACATACCCTAATTTTCCACCAATCCAACAAAAACAAAGGAAGTTTAAGACAGACATGAGTGATAAGATTAAAGAAGAAATCACGAAGCAACTAAGTACAAATGTGATCGGGGTCGTCCGATATACTACATGGTTAGCAAATGTTGTGTCGGTTCCAAATAAGGATGGAAAATCAGAGTTTGTGTTGACTATAGGGATTTAAACAAAGCAAGTCCAAAGGACAACTTCCCTTACCCAACATTCAATCCAATCTTTTGTGGATTGTTATGCCGGGTATCACCAAATTCTAATGGATAAAAAAGATGTAGAAAAGACCTCCTTCACCACTCCATGGGAAACTTATTGTTATAAAGTCATGCCATTTGGTTTAAAGAACGCAGGGGCAACCTACATGAGGGCCATGACTACCATATTCCATAACATGATGCACACATAGATTGAAGTGTATGTTGATGATGTGATCATTAAGTCCAGAACAGAAGCTAACCATGTGCAAGACTTGAAAAAGTTCTTTGAAAGGCTACGAAGGTACAATCTCAAACTCAATCCAGCCAAATACGCATTTGGAGTTCCTTCTGGGAAGCTTTTGGGTTTTATAGTTAGTCGAAGAGTCGTTGAGTTAGATCCATCCAAGATAAAGACCATTTAAGAGCTACATCCCCCGAAGAACAAAACAAAAGTCATGAGTTTACTCGGGAGGTTGAACTACATCAGCAGGTTCATCGCGCAACTTACAACCACATGTGAGCCCATTTTCAAGTTGTTGAAAAAGAACACCGCTATCAAGTGGACAAATGAGTGCCAAGAAGCTTTTGATAAGATCAAGGAATATTTGTCAAATCCCCCTATTTTGGTCCCATCGGAACCTGGTAGGCCTCTGTTTTTATATCTGTCAGTAATGGATAGTTCCTTTGATTGTGTTCTGGGTTAACATGATGCCACAAGCAAAAAGTAACAAGAAATATATTATTTGAGCAAAAAGTTCACCACTTATGAGGCCAAATACACTCTTTTGGAAAAGAAAAGGTTGTGCCTTAACCTGGGTCGCCCAGAAGCTTAGGCATTATCTTTTGGCCTATACAACTTACCTCATATCCCGAATGGATCCCCTGAAGTACATCTTTCAGAAGCCGATGCCAACTGGCAGATTGGCAAAGTGGCAAATCTTGCTCACAGAATTTGATATTGTTTATGTCACTCGCACTGCCATGAAGGCACAAGCTTTGGCTGATCATCTGGCAGAAAACCAGTTGGTGATGAGTATGAATCTTTGAACACATACTTCTCAGATGAAGAGGTTAATTTAGTTGAAGAAGTAGTCCAAGATGATAGTCAAATTTGGAAACTATACTTTAATGGGGCTGTCAACATCAAAGGCGTAGGGATTGGGGCAATTCTTGTATCACCTACTGGGAAACATTACCCTGCCACGGCGCGACTTCGTTTCTTCTGTACAAACATAATGGCAGAATATGAAGCTTGCATCATGGGTCTGAACATGGCAATAAACCTAAATGTGCATGAACTGTTGGTGATGGGAGATTCGGATTTACTTATTCGGCAGGCTCAAGGTGATTGGGAGACTCGAGACATCAAGCTCATTCCATATAGACAATGTGTGAAGGATCTTAGCAAAAGGTTCAAGTCCATCGAGTTCAGGTACATTCCTAGATTTCATAATGAATTAGCTAATGCCTTGGCCACCTTGGCCTCAATGCTTCCATATCCGGGTAATACTCACATTGATCCATTAGAAATTAAAATTCGGGATCAACATGGTTATTGCAACACAATTGAAGCAGAACCAGATGGTGAACCATGGTACCGTGATATTAAACAATTTCTGAAAACAAGAGAATATCCAAAACATGCTAATAGGGATCAAAATAGAACTATTAGGCGACTCTGAAATGGTTTCTTTTTGAGTGGGGAAATCCTATACAAAAGAACTCCGGATTTGAATTTGTTGAGATGTGTGGATTCAAAAGAAGCTGAAATGATTATGCATGAGGTGAATTCGGGAGTTTGTGGTCCGCACATGAATGGATATGTTCTAGCAAAGAAAATCCTTCGGGCAGGATATCATTGGCTTACTATGGAACGAGATTGCTTTCGTTTTGTTCGTAAGTGCCACCAGTGTCAGATTCACAGTGATTTGATTCACTCGCCTCCTTCAGATTTGTATCCTATGTCGGCTCTTTGGCCTTTCGTTTCTTGGGGAATGGACGTCATTGGCCCAATCGAGCCAAAATCTTCAAATAGGCACAAATTCATCTTGGTTGCAATTGATTACTTCACCAAATGGGTGGAAGCTATTACATTGAAAGCAGTCACCAAGAAATTAGTAGTAGACTTTGTTCACTCCAATATCATTTGTTATTTCGGTATTCCAAAAATCATTATCATAGATAATGCTGCTAATTTGAATAGTCATCTGATGAAGGAGGTATGTGAACAATTTAAAATTGAGCATCGCAATTCTACTCCTTACCGGACCAAGGCTAATGGATCTGTTGAAGCTGCGAATAAGAACATCAAGAAGATTCTTAGGAAGATGGTCCAAGGGTCTAGACAATGGCACGAGAAACTGCCTTTTGCTCTTTTGGGATACCGGACAACTGTCCGTACATCAGTTGGCGCAATGCCCTACTTGTTAGTTTATGACACTGAAGCGGTCATACCTGCTGAAGTTGAGATTCCCTCTCTCCGAATCATTATTGAAGCAGGGATCGAGGATACTGACTAGGTCAAGTCCCGATTGGAACATTTGAGTTTAATTGATGAAAAGCGTTTGGCGACAATTTGTTTCGGTCAGTTATACCAACAAAGAATGGCACGCGCTTACAATAAAAAAGTGTGCCCAAGACAATTCGAGGTAGGACAACTTATTTTGAAATGTATATTTCCTCATCAGGAAGAAGCAAAAGGAAAGTTCGCCCCGAACTGGCAAGGTCCTTACCTCATCAAAAAAGTATTGTCAAAAGGAGCTCTACACTTGGTAGATATAGAAGGAAAGGTGACAGATATATCCATCAACGCAGATGCGGTCAAGAGATACTATGTCTGACATGCCTCTGTTGAGGCATTTTTATACTTAGCATTCTCGGGTTGGGATGACGAAAGGCTATCATTCTCGCTACCCAAACACTGGTCAACCCTAGTTAGCCCTTTGAAGCCTTGTTTATACTTCTTTGTTTTCCCCTCTTTTGGAACCAATATACTTAATCAAAATAAAAAATGAAAATGAATGAAAAAAAACCATCATCAAAAATCCGACCTAATTCCGACCTGATTCCGAAAGGATACGTAGGGAGCCTCACTCTGGGGTTCGGTTGCACCAAAACAAAAATCCATATTTCCCCAGTATTCAAAGAAACTGGGGCATGAATTTATTTTATTTTCGATTGTTGTTCCATCAAAATGGTTCCAAAAGTTGTAATTCAGTTGAGTAGTCCTTTTTACCATTCCCGATTAAGACCTTCTGATCAACTTTCGAGAATGCTAAGTCAGTATACTATAGGTGATGCCTCATCCATTGTAAAGAGAGAAAAATAAAATGAGAGAGTCTTATTGGTGAAAACCTTCACAGGCACTATAAGGCATTGGTGAGTTCAAAGAACGACAAATGAGAGAGGTCAGTTGGTGAAAACCCACAAAGGGCATCATTGATCGATTTAGGTCTTCATATATCCCGACACAAGCATGGTAAAGACAAAGAACTCGGCTTCAAAGTGAAGTTACATATTTCGAGAATTAGACGATTCAAACGGATCAGGCATCCAGTCTAAAGTGCATGTCATGTTCATTGAAGTCAACATATTCCTCCAGATAAGTCTTTTTTTTTTTCTCTGAAGGGGACACTTCTTGATTAAGTTGTAATACCTATTAGTTCACCTTCTTGTTTTCTTTTGCATTATCTTTTGAGTCCCTTTCAGTCTAATTTTGTCAAAGCAAAGCAAAGAAAAGGCCGCAAAATTGGTTACAGTTTCCCGTTATATGAAGCAAAAATTTTGGGGCATAAACAGTATGGGCAAAGGCATAAAGCCAACTTTGTTATTCCCTGACTAGCAAAAGGCTTGAAGGACTGAACAATGTTTCAATGGCCAACAAAAGCTACTCAGTTAAAAGTTATTTTGGAGAGCAAGGTTGTTTGCACCACAAACACAAATGGTGATAGGCGCAAAATAGTGAGGTTTTGATGTTGAGAAAGAAGATCTCCAAAAGTAAAGACAGAATCTCCCGGCAATTTGCACGACCATCAACGGAGTCAGTTTTTCTAACAAGTGTAATGGACTCA